TTGCTAATCGCAATAAAGGGACAAGCATGGAGACAGAATTGAAACGAAGTGAGCAAGGCACCTGGTTTGAGAAGGATGTGATGCGATGATTGGCAGCAGAACTGAGATTAAAGAGAGCACATGAGCTACAATTAGGCTTGGCAGAATTCAATTTGTAAGTGTTAATAATTCCAATGGATAATACCAATGTTTATTTTAAAGCATTTTTTTCTGATTTTATCTATTTAAATTTTCACAGTTATGCAAAATTAGGGGGTTTAAACATTTTGAATTATGTATCTAATTGAATTTTTACTGTTGCAGGAAATTATGGGGGTTGAGCAACAGAGGGGTCAGACAGTAATTATTTAATGATAGTAAAGCCCTGAGACTCAAAAAGTTAAAACTTTATTACCATTAATACACAAGTTGCCAACTTCACATGTCAAAATATAAAATGTAAATATCCTTAAATCGAACTCTAATAAGTTCTCAAGCAGACTTTACTTACTTTGCCTATTTGTGAATTTCGATTATTACTGATTGAAATAATTTTCATCCGTTTCTGTGTATATGGTGAAATCCTTTATTGACATTTATTGATAAAAATCCAACCCTTCCAAGCCTAACTCTAATCAAACGAGAGAGGCGATCCTCTGACCACAGCAGCTGCACTATGACAAGGACCAATCCCAGACTGCAGATTGGCAAGGGGCTGTTTTGGTGAGACAGATGAACACATAAAAAGAGGGTGACCATATTTCCCTATGTTGAATACGGGACACCGGGTAAAATTACTCGTATTCAAGCGAATGCAATGGCAAACAATCAGAACTATGCAGTACAAACGTTGAAATTAACATCAAGTTGACTGAGCCCCCGTTAAAAAGAAATACTGCGTAGCTGGATTCTTTTTATTTACCTCCTTATCTTTAAGACTTGAGGGTTCACACAGGGAGGGGTGACACACACACCCCTACTCCCCTACTCACACAGGGAGAGGTGACACACACATGTACACCTCTCTCACACGGGGTGTGGAGGGGGGTGACCGACCAACTGACCCCACCCTCCCTGCCTGGCGCTCTCTGCCCCCCATGCCTGGCTGGGACCCTGGGACGGAACCGCCCCTCCTGGTACCTGGCGCTGCGTCTCCCGCACCCCCCCCCCCGGATTCCTGCCTGAGTTCACACCAGAATGTGGCCAGCAGCAGCCTTTTAGCACTGAGCGGGAGGGAAGGGACGGGAGCTGCTTCCAGCTGCAGGGCGGGGGAGGGAGGGAAGGGGATGAACCTGGCCTGTGTCTTTGCAGAGCTCATCTCTTCTTTTCCCTCCTCCTCTCTCCGTGGCTGGAAGCAGCTGATCCCTTCCTGCCTGCACAGGCTGTTGCTAGCCACAGACATAACCCAACTGCCTCCTGTCTCCTCCCCCCACCCCCCCGGCTACAGCGCAGGCAGGAAGGGGTTAAGCCCTAAGGATGCATTGTGCACCAGGGCCCAGGGAACCTGACTGCAGGGGCTTCAGCGAACCGGCCAGAGAGGTGGCTCAGCAGGGGAGGGTGCCTAGGGGATGGAGCAGCCCCACACTCCCTGGGAGCAGGACCCAGGGTTGGGGGGGAGGGGTGAAGAGGTTGCTAAGCCCCTGCCCGGGGGCTGCTGTGGAGCCTACAGGTTCAGGGCATGACCAGGCTGGAAATGGCTCCCCACTTCCCCACTCCAGAGCTTAGCTGAGGGGTGGGGAGGCGTCCCCGTGCCAGCGCTGTGCGGGGCTTTGGCACATGCAGGGCTCGGCTCCTCCTGGCCAGCGCCCCGAGCTGGAGGATCTTGGGTTTTCCCGGGGCGCCGGCCCAGCCAGAGGCAGTGGGGGAAGGAAGGAGCTGCCGGCCAGGGTGCTGGTGAGCTGAGCGCCCCGACCAGGGGCTGGTTCTCCCCACAGCGCTGGGAGTGGGACGTGCCCTGCCAGTGGGGATATGGAGGAGCAGCGGGGCTGGGGGGGGGGTGAAGGGGCAAAGCAGGGAGAGGACAGTGAGGGGGAGCACATAAAGGGCGGATAGGTGGCCAACAGAGACAACATGTAGCTGGCTGCTGCCTGGCCCCTGCCTGCATTCACCAGCCACCACAGCTTGCAGCGTGCAGCCAGTGCCGGCCGGAAACGGGACCGGGGGCAGGGCCCTGCCGGTCGAGAGCTGGCATGCAGTGAGGGGCTGCACTGACAGACCAGCCTGGGGAGCCTCTGGCCCCACACGCTGCAGCTTTGCCCCGCTGCCAGCCTTGCACACCCACCCCCATCGTCGGCCACTGGACCTTCCCCCCTCACTGCTGATGAGAAGGCGGCTGGTGAGCAGGGGTCTGGCCAGCAGCAGGACCCCCCAGTACTGATGGTGGGGACGGACAGAAAATATGGGACAGTTTGCCCATTTTTAGGAAAAAATCGGGACACCTGCAGAAGGGCTTAAGAACGGGATGTCTGGTCACCCTACATAAAAAAAGATGCTTAAAAAGGGAACAGTGAAGGCAAGATAGTAGCCGGGGGAGAGAGAGATTCTGGTGTGGGGGGAGTCGATTTTTTTTTTTTTAGAAAAGCGGTGAATGCGACAGCTGCTTGGGGGCTATGGGGAAGGACACCAAAGAACAGAATGTGGTTAATTATAAAGGAAACACAACTTATACAAATACAGTTAAACAACATTGCTAAGACTTGGTCAAAAAGTGTGAGAGGGGACATCCCTTCCAAATCCACAGGAATGCCGTTTCAGTCAATGAGTACCTTTTATAAACAGGCTGCCTAATAATGACCTTACAGGCAGTCTCAAGGAGTTGTGTTAATTTCAGACATGATGTTCTTGCCTAGCAGCCTTTGTAACAAGAGGTCCCATGGTTCTTCGAAGGTGTTAACTCCCAAGGTGGTTTTGTAATCCCCATTTGTACTGATACTTTTATCCACAGAAAAGAAAATGTGGAATATGGTATCCAACTCCACGGGTAGGTGTTAACCAAAGGCAGAACAATCAGGATTGCACAATCAGGACTTAAAAATATTGCTGGGGTGGGAATCTCTTAACGTTGTCCTGCCAGACTTGGGAGGAAGCTGCAGAAGGTGACCACTTTGGAGCCATATCCCGATTTTCTCAGTTTAAGATGCCATTTTCATTCTGGAACAAAACTGACTGAGCTGACAGAGGAAAGATGCCCTTCCTCCCCTCATGAACCCAAGACATCCTGCTTGCAAAAGCATTGCTTGCACTCTACATGGACGTGAGGCAGGGCTGCCCAGAGGGGGGGGGGCAAGTGGGGCAATTTTCCCCAGGGCCCGGGCCCCACAGAGGCCCCCCACGAGAATATAGTATTCTATAGTATTGCAACTTTTTTTTATGAAAGGGGCCCCCAAAATTGCTTTGCCCCAGGCCCCCTGAATCCTCTGGGCAGCCCTGAGGTGAGGGCAAGTCAACCTCTGCATTATCTGAAGGGATTCACATCTCATGCACTGGAGAGAGAACAGCTGAGACTGTGTGGTGGATGGGGCAGGTTGGTTCTGGCTGCAAACTCCCTCACGCTGCAAAGCAAAACCCTCCTAATTAGCACCACAAAAGCCATACTGCCCCTCTCCCTTCTCTGTGAGGGATGGAAAGAGGTATAAATGGCAACCTGCTTGGACCAAACACATGTAAAGGAAGTTTCTGTGATGGGGGTGCCCTTTATAAGACTGCATCTATCCTTTGCTTCAATGAATTAACTGCAAACAATTATATTAACAAGTCAAAACCATTGATGACAAGTGGGTGTAATGGGACAGCAACACACACTCATGGTTACTGACCTACTCTCTCCTTCAAAAGGTTATGGGGAATGTATCTGAAGAGTAAGGGAACTCAGTCCAACCTTCTTGATCTCCTAGAGCACTGTAGTGACCCATCACTAATTAGAGATCTTCACGCCCTCCCCACCTGGTCTTACTTAGGCAAAACTCAAAGTAAAGTCAATGGGAATTTTGCCTGAATAAGGACCAAATAAGAACCAAAGTCTTACGTCTCTTGTCACATCATCTTTACATGGAAACAACTCCATGGATTTTAGTGGGATTACGTCTGATTTACACTGGTTGAAACGAGAGGTGAATCAGACCCTGAGGGCCGAATCTTGTCCTCTGTTTACATCAGTATTTATCTGGCGGATTTTTGTTGTAAAACAAGGAGCAGAATTTGGCACCAAGTACAGCCCTCAGGATTCAGAGTACAGCCCTTAGGATTCGGCCCACAGTTAGCCATCAAAATAATTTAACTAGAGGCAAAACAGGGCAGCTTGGGAAGCTTAGTAGACCCAATAATTCCATACAATCATTTTTCCTGGAAAAAGCTCAACGGGAAACCTTTTTAAATGTGCCAAGATTTCACATTGCAATAGGTGCTGTATTTTGTTTAGCATTACTCCATTGCTACACGTTTCCGATAATGTTTCCCTCCCAGAGCTCTGAACAGCTCACATAAGTCAGGCACTCATTCTAGGTATTAAGATCACTCACAATTATTTTGTTCCAAGTGCGCAGGTTTGTCTTAAGCGTGTGTTCTGAAGTATCTTGTTACTTCCACAAATACAATGAAATTGCTTTATACCTGGGACAATGTGGCTTAACAGACTATACAGCCATATAACTGCCCATTTTTACTGCTAGCAATGAGGCCTGATGGCTCACCAGCTGATGGCTCTAGCTGTTGACCGTAGGACAAAAGTTTTTTAAAATTCCTAACTTTTTCGGAAATTATATTCTTGAAAATGCATGTGTAAAAATAAGGAAAACAACCAACCAACCAACCCCCCACCCCCAACAACAAAAAACCCTTCCCAGTTAATGGACACTGGAATACACTGCACTCCAACTGCGTTTCATTCTGTGATGTAACGTTCGTATCACAGGGAATAAGGTCCGGCACAATTTGAGGTTTGGGGAGAAGGAAGGGGGAATAAATTTCAGACTACTTAAAAATAATCATAAAAGTTGTAGATAGGAAAAACAGTTTATAATTACCTCTGTTGAGGGAAGCTGAACTGTTTATATCTCCGGTAATAAAGGAAGACTCGGACTGCTTTCGAACTGTGTCATTCCACATTCTACGGATCCGGCTCTGAAGAGGAATTGAACCACATAGGTAATGAATTTTTAGCAGCTGCAGATAGATTTCTTTCTGCCTCACTAAAGATGGCTTACTGGCATGTCTAGAGGATGAGACATCTTCCTATCCAGTTGTAAGTAAGCAGTTTCTGATTGGCTATCACCCGCCTATTGCATACCAGCAGGGCCAGTGCTACCATTAAGGCAAACTAGGCGGTTGCCTAGGGTGTCAAAATTTGGGGGCGCCAAAAAGCGGTGCCCCCAATTTTTTATTTACACTGTTCCTCCCCGAGCATGCCGTCGCTGCTCCACTTCTCCCGCCTCCCAGGCTTGCGGCGCCAATCAGCTGTTTGGTGCCACAAGCCTGGGAAGGGAGGAGAATTGGAGCGGGGGCGGCGTGCTCGGGGAGGAGGTGGACCAGAGGTGAGCTGGGGTGGGGAGCTGCCATACGGCTCCCCGAGGGGGGGAA